GGAAGTAGGTTGGAGTTGATAGTATCCTCTCCTTCCTGAAAATATTTTTGTATTGAAATGCTTCTTTGTTTTCTTTATTACTTTCAACATAATTATGCAAGTTCTCACAAGAGATTTTTTTAAAGGTCAGTGTCCATTAAAATAACCTTACTGAACAAATAGAACTGTGTTCATCATCAGACACACATAACCCATATTCACGTTTTGCATTCATCATCAACAAATGAAATAAAAATGAAATAATTAGAAACATTACCGAGAACTTGAGCCCCTAAAACTTTGTTTAGAATGCAGGTATAAGATGAGAGAGTGAGATGGAAGGGAAATTATTGATAACGATAAATGGTTAACCATTTTCTGTCAAAGTGATCTTCCACTTTATTGCACGTACATGTACATGTAGGTCTACATGTAGTATGTTTATTTGCTTGGCATGTTAATATATCTTTAATTTCAATCTAAACATACAAATGAGAGATTTTTTTTCTTGGATGAAGATTATATCAGCTTGGTTGGCAGGTCACGTACAGTAAATGAAAGTAACACATGTGCAGACTTTTGTCTCCTCTATAATATATATGTTTTTTCCTGAACAAAACTAAAGGAAATAGCACAAACAATTAACTGTAAAAATAAGCCCTATCAAACTCTGTATGGGTGGAAAAAAAACTAATTAGTTTCTGAAGACTCTCTGCAATAGTAAACAAGTCTGCATGATATGTTTTTGTTTTGTTTTACTTTTTATATCAGTTTCATATAGACTGTTGTTGCATCACATTTCTCTTAGTTCGGGGTCATATTACACACTGTAATTTGTGTATTGTTAATAATATTTTCTTGATTTTAGATTTATTCATTATTACATGAACATACATGTACATGTATATGTTTTTTGTACGATGGTTTGCATACATGTACTTTACTTTTTGTGATATTTCTATGAAGGAACTGTTCATCAACTTCATCCAAGACCCTCATGGGTCTCAAATACAATGCTTTTGTCCTTTTACGAGCTTACCATAGCCAAATTATACCTATCAAATAATTATTTAAATAAATAGGTAGATAAATGAATTATTTGAACTTTGTTTTCACCAATCTTCAAGCACATGTCAGTTACGCAAATGAACCATTTTTGCGGTTGAGAGTACATACATGTACATGTAAGTGTGGAGATTGATTCATATCTAAAACAAACACAGACCTCTGTGACAACACATTCTTGCAATGTGTTTGACAATGTTGTTGGTTTAGAACTAAGCAGTCACGCAGATTATACACAGAGCACAGTCAATAGAAGCTTGCGACTTAAATGAAGGTAGAAATTTATGCACGCACTTACAGTGTATAGTGTATTTTGGGGGGGTATTATTGTCATGTGTAACTTACTAATTTTCAACAGCTGATAGAAAACATGAAATGAAGGAATTGATGAGGTCTCTGAACTTTAATACCATTGAAAGTTCCTTATGAATTACATGCATTTTATGCTCTTCTTTATCAAAGAATGTACCATGCCCGCTGAGTCGAGAGCTGAAAGAAAGAGTGTTCAATCCCATCATTTATCATGAGGTTGATGCCTTTCTGGCCCTCTGTCTTGGCAGATGATATTACGTTACCTTTAATACAGATATTATTTTCAGTTTTTGTCACTTCACAATTTAAAGCCCGTCTGTACTAGTTTGGCCAGGTTGGGGGGGGGGGTTTACCTCCCTGCAAGGTCACTGACAGGTGGTTATCTCATCAAATCAGCTCTCAATTAACATTAAAAAAGAGGATCATGGGGGACCAACAGGCACCGATTCGGCATTGTTTGTTTATTATGAGGCGCAAGTAGCTATAAGTAGTGTAGTGGGGCTTTAACATTTGAATAGAACATTAAATGAATAAAACATAGTGTCTGCTTTGAGCGAGAAGGCCCATAAATCATTTTGCACGTAGTTAATAGACTTTGCGCCTTGCTACAGCCAAAAAATGTGTACAATGTAACGAATGTATAGCGTATCTTGCTCTTTGCCCAATGAATGCAATTACGGACAGTCTCATGTACCGATATGTAAATCTCATAGAATGTTTTAAAAGGAAATTGAAACTTGCACTTACAATAGTTCTTCTTTTACATGTACATATCCTTGTTACCCCTCCCCCCCCCCCCATCATTTGTATCACGTTCACATGAAATACACACACAGATTGGCGAGGTCATAAACCGCATCACAAGACAGACTGGAACTCGAATTATGGAGCCAGGGCCCTCTCCACACGAGTACCTGAATTCTTTAAGTCCCTTATCGGATTTCAAGCTCGTGTCTAACTGAGCAAACACGTAGCATGTTTCCTGTTTGGGGTAATATTCTCATTATGGAAACGTCCTCCCCTCCCCAATGTAAACTCATTCAGAAAATTCCTAGATAGCTTTATGACTGGCTGGACGTTGTTCACCCTCTTGTTCAAATACAAGCTGTCTAATCACGCTCGAGTATATAAGGTTTAACAAGTGAAATATGTTCAGTGAGATTAGAGACCTTGCACCTCATTGACAGTAATATTTTCATTTAAAAAAAGTGTCAGCTCGCAAGGTTATTTTTGTCACTTTTATTGCATGAGGCACACTGACCCTTCTTTGGGCAAGCCATAGACCCCATTCTCATTACCAGATAATCTTACAAAAATTCTTGAAGAGATATTGCAATCTAGTGGGTGCTGGATCGTTCTACCCCGGAGGTGATAACACCTTTGATTTGAAGTTTCTGGTCTTACAGCTAGTAGTACTCATGAAAATGATTTTTTTAACCTTAAACCCATTTGCAACCCTAACCCAAAACCATTGACAAATTAAAGCCAGAAGCAAACGTCGCACCAGCGAATATCTGGGGGTGTTTCATAAAGCTGTTGATAATAATATGAAAGGCCAGAGAGGATGACCAAAGTTTTCCCTGATGTTCTAACAAAGTGTGACTATATTTCCAATAACCACAATTAAATTATGGCAAAAAATATACTTTGCATTAAAAATGATTGTTACACTAAGAATGTTAATCTACATCTGCACAGTTTAACTTTAGTTGATGCAGTTAAAAATGGTTGAGCATCCTATTTGGCTTTTCATATTCAAGTCGTTTGTAAAGTCATGCATAACTTTACAAACAGCTTTATGAAACACCCCCCCCCCTCCCCCTGTCACTGTAACTCTGGTTTGAAGTACATTATACAAAAGAGATACCTGCTCCCAAGAAGCCACATCCTAGCTGAATGGTCCTTGACTTCCTTGCATCTGACCCACTTTCACCTAACCTACTTTCACCATTGACAGTGTAACAGTCAATGGGGGAGTATGAAGGTCATGTCAAGGTCGTAAATAAAAGAATGGTAGGGTAGGCTATCCAGGAGGAACAAAGATGATAGTCTTTTTTACAGGGTAATTTTGAGATCAACTCCTAATATCAGAGAATACTTGGTCTGTTAGGAGCCAAAGACAACTTTTTTTTTTTTTTTTTTTTTGGGGGGGGGGGGGGTTAGATGTTATCATTTGTCCTTGTAATGTGCTTAATAGAAACATGGTATTAAGTGCCTAGCAGTATTATTCATTTTCATTATTGTTATCATCATTATTATAATTATTAAAAGTAAAATTATTAATATTGATATTAGTATTGTTATTATTATTACTATTGTTATTGTTGTTGAATTGAATTGAATTGATTTGAACTGAATTGAACTTTATTTCATTCATCATAAAAACATCATAACAAACATATAAAATACAGAACATAGCGTACAAGTTAAAAAGAAACATTTACAATACAATACAACAAAAAAAGTATATATGAATGTGGAGACAGCTAGGAAAGCCAAAGGCTTTATTGGTGCTGCCACCAAAACAGTAATAAAGTATAATACAGTATTATATTGTTGTTTGAGAAGGTGATTTAAAAAAAAAAAAAAAAAAAAAAAAAAAAAAATTATCACTATTGATATTAATTTCAACCAATTACAATGCTGCAGGTACATGTACCAGCATTATCTTGTTTGTGACCCAATTAATAGAAAATGTAAGAAGTTTCAGGGACTTAATGGCGATATGGGAAAACAAAGGATCTTTGAGTAGATGCAAGGATATTTATTTGTGACTTTGTCAGAGTACCAGTCTTATTTATTCTCGTGTCCCAGTTTTTAGAAATGAGTTTAGCTGACGCCGGTCATGAAATTGTATTTCCCTGAAAAAGATGGTAAGAGAACTGAGTTGTCTTTAAATAGAATTCTTTTGTGATTTATAACTCCTGTAAGCTGCTGCCCACAAGACCACCAGCCCCTAAGACCGACCACCAGCAGTACTGACAATATCAGTTTTGCAGGATTTCTGAGAAATAATCACATGATTCATGAGACCGATGGCCCATAAGACCAACCATTTATAAGATGGATTTGTCAGTCTTGCAAGTGTTTTGAGTTTTATCAACTTTTCTGCGAGTGCACAAGACCGACATTGCCAGTCTCTTGTCTCTCTTGCAGTCTGTCTGCTCAATGTCCCGACAATGTATATTAGATACATGAAGTTTCACAAATATTAATGAATTAAGAGTTTACAAAAGTTTTACAGACATTATTCACTGTATTTCAAAATGGGTAGTGGGAAATGCAGTACATGATGAATCATTTATAACCAGTCTCTCTCTCTCTCTATTTCATTCTCCATTTTTACTAACAAAATTAGTTCAGCAGTTTTTACTAAACTTCATGTTTTGTTCTCTATTCTACAGAGTACCAGATCCTTTTGCCAAGATGGTGGTAGATCATTCGTAGATGGCTCTGGAGAGTGCCACTTTACGGGTATCTTAAAAAAACTCAGAAAACTGTACATTTGAATTCCACTCACCAAAAATGTATAGCTTATAAATTCTTTACATTGAAAGTATAAAATTATTCACAAGTATATATACTAAACTGCTTTTTTTTCTTCTCTCTCTCTCTCTTTCTCCCTTTTGTTGTCTAATCTACAGGGTTGCCCGACCCGTTTGCCAAGGTAGTGGTTGATGGATCAGGACAGTGCCACTCGACAGACTACTGCAAAGGAACTCTTGATCCAAAATGGAACCAGCATTATGACTTGTGAGTATATTGGCATGGCCTTGACATTTTCTGCTGTTTATTTTAATGCATTTATTTTAATGAATTTTTTTTAACAGCAAATGATTTCAGACTCATAATTGGCAAAACAAGTTAGGATATGGAGCTTTTTCAAGGTTTTCATTAAAATTTATCTTTAGAAATCCTGATCCCTTGGAAGCCTCTTAAACTTGAAGCGATGATTATTTTGCCCAGATCATATTCGTCTATTGTCTGAGTAAACTAATGTTGTTGATTTTTTGCGAGGGATGCAGATTTATAATCAAAATCGTAATGCAACATCGGCTTACAAACTCGTCTTTCTGTAGTATCGAATGAAAGAAAAAATAGCATAGCTTGAATTGGTTTTGGTCTGTTGTTACATTAATATGCAGGTTGCACTGATTGAAAAATGCTTCTTGCTCAAAATGAAGATAAACGAATCTGAAGATATTACAAAGAATAGCGAGCAAAAATAAGACAAGCATCTCAACATCATAATTCTGAAAATTGAGAAATGCTTGGTATATTATCGTTCCACATCATCTCGCAATTTGAGAGTGCAATATTGCCATACACATCCTCTCCCTAGCAAAATCCTCGGCAAGTCATCGTACTTCGTTGACTTCCCTTGACTCCTCGTTTGCGCGCCGTGCAAGGAGACATATACGGCTATATTTGGAATAGAAGATAATTTCATGTCTTGGCAAGAAAACATCATTTACATGGATGTCTGGCAGAGGAGGCAGGGCTCAGCAAACACTCTTCTCCGTTCTCTGCATCCATTAATTCCCGTCAATTTGTCTGCCTGATTCTCCTCTCTCTCCCCCAAAACAAGACTGGCGTGGTTTAAGGCATTTGACTGGCGGCTTGGAGTGCTAGCTAGCTGCCTAGCATGCCAGTCAGTTGTCTATGCCTGTTATATCTATCATTCGGCAGCCTGACACTCACTTCTCGCTTTTAGACCCTGGTTCCATCTTGGAACAACGGCGCTTCCAGAATGCGGCGTTGATTCGCCAAGGCTCCTTGCCCAGTCCTAGACAAGCTTCTTTCAGCTAGCTGCTCTATGAAATCTTGGCATGAATCAGAATGGAGAACACTGGATCTGCCTAATCATGCAGGAGCTCTGTCTCCTACTGTTTTTCAGTGTGCTTTGTTCTTCAGGGTTGCTTCCTGACTGACGCTGGCTGAGAGAAGTTTGACTTCTAAGGAAGGAATGGACCCTTAAAGGGAAACACTAACACTCATGGGGGAAAATATGAATGATGTCTTAGTCTCTTCTACTTCTACTCCTTCTATTTCTATTAGTGATAATGATTATTTGTAAGCCGTGCAATGAAAAGCCTTTTTGTGGGGGGTGGAGAACCAACAATATTTTGTACACTGACAAACGGCACTTATTGGTGAGGTTGTCTGAAGTAAAAAGTTTCTTTAACAAAAAGAAAGATCTGGAATGAATAATTTGCAATGGTTCCCAATAATTTCACGCTCAGTAAAAAATTAGTCATCATGCCACAGTTGTCAAATTTGATGAAAAACTTATTAATTTGAGATTTTGCTGGTCTTTTAGATAAATTCCAAGATGTTTAGAAAATGAGACAGGGCAAACCCACATCGACTAGCATAGACGATTATTTTTTCTATGTCGTGACTACAATATTACCGGTAAATCTTTTCTTATTCTGTATGATTAAAGTCGCTTTTGATGACTTTTTGATAGTAATGCCTTTAATACCAAAATCCTCCTACAAAGTCATGCATTTCTTAACTACTTCATCACACTTGTCTAAAGCACTTTGAACAACTTCACACCCTCCTAGGAATATTGAATTCTAGATAGGAGACCGCGCTGTCTGTCTCCCTCGTCTGTTAAAATTTTAAATTGCAATTAAGGCACTGTGTTGTAAGACGTGCACACCCATGTTTTACAGCCTGAAATGCACTTTGTCTTGAACAGACTAATTGGCCAGCCAATTTAGGTGGTAAAGTACTTTTTTTAAAGTAAACAGTTTGATAGGGCAGTGTTATAAAGCTGAACATGTTGCTGAATCGCTACTTGTTGTAAAACTGAGTATTTCCTTGGTGTATACTCAGACATTTGAATAATTTCACAAGTAAAATCAGTGAAGGTCCCTAGCATCTGGTTGATAACCTTCTGTTACAATGTAGCTTTGAATAATTCAGCCGTCTCATATAGGTTGGAATCATTGAATACATTGAAATGATAGTGAGATATATTTCAGAATTCAATCATGAATGTTTGTATGGAAAAGGCAATCCAGCCTTGGAAGTAAATTGTTTGAGCGAAAGCAGACAAATAAAAGAAACAGATCTTGTTAAGCCAAGTAGAATTAAGTCTCAGTTTCTTGTCTCTGCCTTTTTCCTTTTCAACACACCCACTTTTTATTATTTTCTTCTATTAGAGACCACATGCGAATTGAATAATGAAATGGATGAATTATATATCTGGAAAGCTTATGAGCCATGGATTACAATAATATCAATTATATGCCATTTGAGTGTCTGTCGGAGGAGTATCAGCTCTCTGAAAACACAAAATCTAAAGCTTTGAAAATCAGAAGTTGTCGACCTCAAAACTTGCTATCGACTTGATGACATAATCTTATGTGGAGTACACATTTTCACAATGACTTTGCATTAATTAATTTAGCACTGCTCATTGCCTCAGCTATATAGTGAACCGATCAGGTCTACATCTTATTTCGTCACTGTAACTTCCGCAAATTTGACCCCTGTTGAACCGTAATTTGGAGGGGTGCAGAAAATGAGGTTTTGATTTGCTTTTTTGCTATAATGACAGGGTAAATACTTTTTATTCCTTTATATTTGTATTCTACATTCATTCAGTTTTCCATTTATATCAAGTTGTATTTTCATCGGATAGGGTCTTTAAGTATATTCTGGTGTAAGTTTAAAGCTCACCGCTCGCTATATGTTCCTCCTGAGATCTGATTTTTGAAGAAATGACAATTATATTATATTATGTAAATCTAAACAAGCATCATCCTCCTGATTCACATGTAGGTTATAAATAATAAGAATACCATCGTCCAGAATTTGATTACATTTATCTCTTCTAGTCAGAATAAAAGCCGCATAATATTAATAATGATAAAAACGGTGCTTATTAAGTGCTTACCACCGACGTCCTAAAGAGCATGGGCTTCAAATCGTAGACAATCCCACTACTGGTGTGATGTCGATCACTACGATTGTGAGTTGATTAGCTTTATTCTTCCCCAATGAAGCTTGATATTCCTTGAAATTGAGATATTATGAACCATATGACTATTCAGATCCTCCGTCTTTAAGATTTTACATGTTTGAATGTTCATATCAAATGCTAATTGCAAATTCTACCCTAATTTGATTACAGTCTGATCTTACAGTGTGCGCTGGGCTTTTAAGATATCCCTGTCGTTGTATGTACCTGGGGATTTATTATTGGTTTTTTCATTTCTATATTTACATTATTCAAATTTTCCTATGTTTTGCAGACGTGGAGCCAATGCAGTTATGCCTTTGATCTTCTGTCTTTCGCTGTTAAATAATATAAATAATTAAATACTCAATTTCCAATTTATACTATGACACTACTCTAAGAGTTTACAATTTAAGACTATGAATTCAAGTTGTTACGCTCTCCATTAATGTTCCGTAAATCATTAGCACTAGCAGCAGGAGGACCATTAAAGTCCAGTCAGACAGAAATAGAATGAGAGCAACAATTCTATAAGAAGACAATGCAAAACAAGTTTTGTGAAATGAGATCCATGTAGAAAAGCAGAACCTGGTAGAAGAAAGAAAAACTAAACACTGTTCTCAGTAGACAACATTATTTGATAATTCTTTAATTATCTCCATTGACCTTGTTGTGGGAGTTACCGTAAATCTCTGTGTATAAGGCGCACTCTTTTGCCGCCGGAAAAATTGAAAATCAGGGGGTGCGTTTTATACACAGGTACAAACGAAAACTTCTTTTTTTTTTTTTAAAGTTTTGATTTATGCCCGGCGCTATGCCTGGCATTGTCTCCCAGCTCAGTTACCTGTGTGTTGACTCACCATTCAGAAACTACAACAACACTCAAATTTGTCTGTCATCTTGGTTTGAAAGTAATCTTTCTAATAGATCTCAATATGTGGTTTATCATAATAATTCATGGTGTACCACAAGATTCTATCCTCGGTACTCAACTGTTTTTAATTTACATTAATGATCTTACACATTATTCTAAAAACGACATTGTTACTATTATTTGTGACAAGTTCACAAGCACAAATCCGCGCCTTCAACTGCAAGTCCTTCCCCGCGTGGGTTTTCGGCAAAATATTAAAACAATTTTTTTTTTGTGCCCCCAAAATAGGGGTGCGCCTTATACACGGAGGTTTACGGTATATAAAATTGTTGATAACCATACATTTTCATTATCCTTCTCAAAAAGGGACAATTGAAGAAAAAAATTACAATTTAAAAAGGAACTTCTGCAATGGTTTGGTTGCCAAAGTAGCTTTCTCCAGGGCTTCAGATCTCAGCACGATCACAAAACACTGTGACAAGCTAGAGGCAAAAATTTGAAAAATTGGAGAGAAAAAAATCCAAACTTTTGATAGTTTCCGAATGAGTGGCCCCAATGTCCTCTCAGACACAACACGGCACATCAGCCAGAGTTGCAGGATATTGGTAATAGCTGGTAATGGAGTCTTAGGGAACGTCTCCAAGGAATAACGGGACTGGGATACCCAGCCAGACAGACAGACAGACAGACAGACGTTTGCGACAGGAGTCTGAACAGTGCCAGAAGGAAGTGTAGGCTAACTGAATTTCCCCTTCAGATTTCCTCGGAGGAAGAAGGATCAGATGGTAGGCTGAGGCTGGGGGTGGGTGTGTTCAGCAGGGACTTGTCGTGAGATGGAATGTTGTGGAGGTTCATTTAGAACATGCTTGTACAGGTACATGAAGATTTATTGAATTGAATTGACAT